GTGCTGGCGTCGCCCACGGCGTCGTCGACGGCCGTCCTAAGCTCCTCATGAGTCGGGCCGGCCTCGCTCCCGCCAGATTTCCCTAGAGTCTTTCGCAGACATGTTGTGTGTCTCCCGCACTAGACCAGCCACTAGACTATGGCGTTAACGCCACAAACTCTAGAGTGTTGATTGGCCCCAAGACTAGTGCTGCTGGATGAGCACGGCTGACCCGGTTGACAAACGTGAAGAGATGGTTAAGACGTTTTATTGGTTGTCCTTGTAGACACAACCCACGGAAGAGAGTGAGCACAGGGTGCATCACAAACACCGAGGCACTCGTGCAACAGCCGCAAGAAATTCCCCGCAGAAAAGACGCATTCGGAACTCGGAACACGCGACAGCGGAACACGTGANAGGACTACTGCAGCTATTGCACTTCTGAAGCATTGCTGCAGCTAAGAACGATGTGCACCTTGAATAGTAGGAAGAATAGTAACGATCAAAAAGTGCACGCGCACATCACCGCTGAGTAGGCAAAGGCGATTGCCCTAAAAACAGACATGAATATCAAGTATGGTATAAAATATCGAGAAATCTGATCACACCTGCATCAATGCGCCTACACGCATTCTAACGTCGTGTGTTCTGTCGCCAGTATAGTCTTCTCAGAGCAAACCGAAGACATGCTGAGCCGGCTTGGCCGAAGGTGCTCAAGCGATACGTTGACGTCTATCGAGGCCTTCGTCTCAACGTATTGTACGTTTGAGCGAGAGTGTTCCGTACTCCCCGTGAAGAGATGCTGGCATATTGTCGTCCAACGTTTTGCCAATGGAGGAAGAGGTGGACCGTCAATTGGCCTGGTGCACGATATATATATATGTTTTGCCAACTTTTTGTTCAAAATGGTCCTTTCTCTGGAGGTGGTTGGTCTCTACAGAAATGATATATAAGGGTGTAAACAGTACACTAAATAGTAGTTGTTGGGCAGGGTGGTAAAGTATGGCCAGAATGTGCGCGCGATCTATGACGCCACTCATATGTCTCTGCATAAAATCGCGACAGAGCAGGGAACGCGCGTCGGGTCGCGTGCATTCGCTCGGCCCGCTTGATGCTCTGGCCCCACCTGTCTAATGGTCTGATCCAACGCTTGCTTGCTCTATCTACACCGGTATTAACCCCCTTTAGGACAAGTAGGTTTTGGGTCGCCACGCCGCCATGGTTATCCCGAACAAGATGCGCAAGGAGGGATCGGTAGTCTTGTGAGTAGACGGTGGTGGAATAGCGTGCTGTGGCGAAGTGCTTGGGGGTTGGATATGTATTGGTCGCAGCGAGGTGCTTTGGGGGCTGGATATGTACTGGTCGCAACTGCAGCTCGTGGTCCTTGCGGGGGCAGCAGCGAACACCGAGGAGCTCGTATCAGAAGGGCGTATACTGTCCCACTTCTCGAAGCACTTCCCAGAAGTCATCCACGC